TGAGGGGAGGCCCTGCTCTCACTACCCTGCCTCTTCTGACAAATTGCTCCAGCATCACACAATGGGAGGAAGTGTCCTCCCATCAAGTCCCAAATTGAAATTTCCCTGCAATCCAGGAGTAGTGGCTACTGCATGAATAATGCTGAAAGATTTTGAAATCGTAAAAAATACTTTGCAAAACTGCACTTCTCAGCACTTTCCATCTGATGACATTAAAAAGCCTAACTAAAACCAATCAATATATGCAAACTCCTGTGAGGCAGGTAAATATTATATTAATTATTATTATTATCCTTTTTGGATGGAGAAACTGAGGCATGCGATAATTAAGTTCCTTATCTGATGTGGTTTTTTTTAAAATCAGCAGAAACCCTCCCTTTAAGACCAACCCTTACATCAGGAGGGGGCTGCACACAAAAGAGAAGCAAAAATACCCCCAAACCACCCTCACTCCCCACATTCCCCTTGCATACTGGAACCTAGTGGGGCCCATACTAGTAGATTTTGTGTACTCCCCATCCCTGCCAGCTCCCCAGTGCTTAGCCAGATCCAGGCAAGCAGGAGGCTGCATTTGGCCCCCAGGCCTTAGGTTTCCCCATCCCTGCCTTAAATGATGAACCCATCATTTTTCCAGTGTCCTACTGGAAAACTGTTACAGGAAGGTCACTAAGAAAACCCCCAATCTTCACATTTCTAGCAGAGGGGAACACAGGCCACTGACTGCACTGAGGTGGGAAATCACCCTGAAACCCCAGCCTCCCCCAGTACAGGAACGTGGCAGTGAAGCCGCATCTGGCCCTAATGCAGTAGAAGGGCTGGCCCTGCCTCTCTGTACCAAGCATACCAGGTGTGGCCGGGCAGGCTCAGTCCAGCATGAGACAAGTGTGGAGGGGGTTAATGTGGGGGAATCCAGGTGTGGGCAGCTCAGTGGGAGATCTGGATGCACAAGGGACTGTTGCGAGGTTCTGGTGCAGGTGCAATGGGACTCTGGTTGAGCTCAGTGGAGGAGTTGAGGGAAGCGGAGGTGGGGTTTGGTGTGGGGTCTAGGTGCTGAGGAAGTAGGACTTGAGAGGGTAGGGGGTCCAGGTGCAGCTTGCTGGAAGCGGAGGTGGGGTTTGGTGTGGGGTCTAGGTGCTGAGGAAGTAGGACTTGAGAGGGTAGGGGGTCCAGGTGCAGCTTGCTGGGGCTCAGTGGGGTGGAGGTGTGGGGAGCTTGTTGGATGAGTCCAGGTTTAGGGGAGCAGGACTTGTCAGGGTGAGCGTTAGATGGGCCTGCTTAACCAGGGAGCCCCAGT